TTTCAAGATTTTAAAAGTGGACATAAAGCTATCTTCGGCTTTCCATCTTCAAACTGATGGACAAACAGAGCATGTAAACCAAGTCTTGGAGTAATATTTAAGGTGTACTATCAACTACCAACAAGATGATTGGACAACCCTTCTGCCATTGGCAAAGTTTGCTTATAATAATACGGTACATTCTTCCATGCAACAAACACCTTTCTTTGCCAATTATGGCTATCATCCACGACTTGATACTTTTGATTTTTCAAAAGTTGATAATCCTGCAGCAGAAGATATGGCGAATCGGTTGTCAGAGTTACATGCAATAATGAAGACATAATTGAAGGAAGCTCAAGAACGACAAAAGATAAATGCAGATCTATATCGTAAGGAGCAACCACAACTCAACGTGGGTGATAAGGTATGGCTACTTCGTCGCAATATCAAGACTACTCGACCTTGTGACAAGTTGGACTATCGTAGGCTTGGCCCCTTTTTTGTTTCTGAACAGATCAACCCAGTTGCATATCGGTTACATCTACCGGAGTCAATGAAGTTCCATCCTGTATTCCACGTGTCTCTTCTTGAACCATATAAGACAGTGGATATACAAAGAAGAAGACAAATGCCACCGCCTCCTACAGAAGTAGATAATAATGAAGAATTTGAGGTGGAAGAGATATTAGACTCAAGGCAGCGCCGAAATAAGTTGGAATATCTTGTTCATTGGCACGGATATGATATTAGTGAACGCACATGAAAGCCATCTAGGAATCTAGCAAATGCATCAGCTAAAGTCAAAGTTTTTCATCAACGACATCCATCAAAATCAAGATGAAAATCTCTCTTATAAAAGAGACAAGATTGAGGCAAGATAACATTCAATTTCCTATCCTTGTTTGTAACTTCTTTGTATTTGTGACACTAATTAGATGGAGAGCCAACAACCAGCGGATTCAACTCAAGAACCTTCGTTTGCTGACCTGCCGGACGAGACATTACGATTGTCACAACCTTCAAGTCAACGCAATCGAGATGAAGATCTTCAAGAACGACATGTTTTTCCTCGAATAGATGGTGAGATACAACGCGTTTGGTATCACGATTTGGGTAGGGACTCTCGATGTTTGGTGATTTTGCTAGAGGTAGGAACAACTCCTGATGGTGTTCCGAATATTCTATTCGAAGGAAGTTACGAAGGCCTCAACAATGATCAAATAACTGAGTGGTCTTCCCGCCCTGGTATGGAACACTACCGATGGTTGAGAGGCCCTATCAATCATCTTCGAAGAGAATAGAGATCAGAGTATGTGGCGAATACAATTTGTCGCATCATAGATTTCCTCAACATATGATGACCGCTCCTCGTGGACTTCGTCTCTAGAAGGAGGGGTAATGTCACGGCCATGATCATGTAAGCTAATAATTACATATAGAAATAGGTAGAAGTAAGTAAAAGTAGATAAAAGTAAGTTAATTCTATAATATTTAATATAAAAGCTTCCTAGAAACTTCCTAGACACTGCTTTGACTTCATAGGTGTCTTTAATTGACTTTTTGGATTAGAAACGTGGTCAACAAGTTGGCCATGTGCCACACATGTTGTTAGCTTGAAGATCAAGCTAACTATGTGGCCCACACGTAGAAAAACTTGCCTTGTAAGTCAAGGCATGTGTCCTACAAAGTCAACACATATTGGAGGTCCTATAGAACGTCGCCATGTAGCCCCTAGTTAGATAGTATATATAGAGACAAGAGTGAAGGCTTCTTCACTCTTGTCAACTCCTTTCTTGCTTCTAGTCTAGTTTCAAGGGTCTCTAGTTTTCTTGTCTTTTGGCAATAGCCATTCTAGTTTCTCTTTTCAATTTACATACTTATTATTCATATTTTTTTATTTTTCTTTGAGTGAAGGCTTACTTGTCTGAACTGTTTTTTTCATCGAGTTCTTATCCTTGACACCTACTAATCACCTTTAAATACTTAAAAAGTCAAATTTGCAACTATATAGCTTCTCTATAAGGTATTATCTAAATTACTTACTTCTATTTACTTCTATGTGACTTCTCTTATATTCATTGGTGTTGATATGTTCGTGATAATTTTTTTCCACTATAAATGTAAAGATATAAATTTAAAGTTTTGAATTAAGAGTTTAGAAGTATTTCTTAACAATTAGTTTTAAATTATCTTATTGAGGGTTGAATCTCTTTAATTTTCTATTCATTACTATAAAATTACTTTATATAATAAAAGTATCTTATAACAAAAAAAACCTTTACATCAATGTGACATATAATTTTGTTATGATAAAAAAATATTCTTGTGTTACAAAACTATTTTACATAGAATAGAGACTTTTATCTTTAATAAAGAAGGTAATTGATTGTTATCTTTGTTATAAATATAACTTATTTATTATAAATTTTATAATTTGCAATCATAATAATTTGATTATGATTGTGGTCTTTATGTTAAATCAACAATTTTTTTACTTTGATAAGTCAAAAACCAAATAAAATAATCTATATTTATTATAATTTTTGAAAAACCATAAATTTTAGTTTTATAACCTCAAACAAGAATCAAAGTGTTGATGAGTACTTTTAAATTAAAGTTCGTTTTATATCTCAAAAATAATTTTTATTTTATAAAACTATAGTACAATTACCAACTAAATATATTGAATTTAATTAAATAAAAATTAAAAACGAAAGAAAATAATTTAAGATATAACTTTATATTATAATATTCAATAAAATTTAAATATTAATTTTTTAAATATTTTTTATGAAAATTGTTACAAGATAAAAATGATGTAGATATATTGTAGTAATTTTTAGGATTCCTATACTTTTTAAATCCTTTTGAGTTATTGTTACTTAAACATCTTAAATTATACTAAAAAAATTGAATAGTTTTCCTTTCAAAAATAAATTCCATGTAAAATTTTGGACTAAGAATGTTTATATAAGTAACTGCTATCATATTGTTTCATTAATTGCTACTTTATTATCTCATGACTGAATGGATCTTATTGAAAGATAAACCAAAAAAAAAAAAAAAAAAAAAAAAAGTATAATATAAAAAAAGAGTCATACCACATAATAGGTAACCAATTATTTTGAGCGCTTTTTAAGCTATTTTCCAAAATAAACCCATATTAGCAGAGCTTTTCATCATCAAACCCCAAATTCCTTTTTAAAAAACTAAGAAAAAATATTATTCTTTTTCAGATAAATAAATAAAAAAAAATCTAATAATTATCTACTTTGCGGTGTTTTAACTCACGTGGCTTCAAAAGCAGCACCATCTTTCAACCTGAACAGAACCACTATTATTTGAAATACTAGCTACCCTCATCAGGAATTTACAAACAGAGTAACTTACAACACATCCAAGATCAAGTTCACATAAGCTGGAATACTTCAACTCCTGAACCATGTACATATGCATATATATATATATATATATATGTGTGTGTGTGTGTATGTGTGTTTCCATATCTATGTATATAAATATATAGATTTTTACGTACGAGGATGGTTAGAGCTTCTGGATTAGATTGAAAGGATCACAAACTGATAAAATGGACCTGGAAAGGGCAAAACTACTGCCGGATGGCGTGATGAAAGGCCTGCAACAGCAGATCATGTGCAGAAACAAATCTGACACTTATCGCTCATATAGCGCTGTTAGAATCGACGAATTACGCGCTGGATGCCAGCACAAGATGAAAAGTAGGAGGAGGAGAAAGAAGAAGAAGAAGAAGAAGAAGTAAGTAATTAGATGAACATCGTATGTCACCAAAGGTGGGCTCCCACCCTCGGCAGAAGCAGCCGAAGAAAAGAGAAGCGGGGCATCATGTCCAGTCCTGGACGGGGCTCTGCATGCTCATGGCTTCGCAGCACCGCGCTGTGTGGTACTGGTAACCCCCCACCCCATCTAGCCAGCTGACTTCATTGAGGCGAGGGGAGGGAAGCCGTGGTGGTGATCGGCTTTCCACTGCTCCAGCACACATGGTCGGCCAGGGACTGGACCCGTACCTGGTGCACTGCCATCGACAACATGCAGCACTTGAATCCCACAATTAGTCCGCACGAAGAATAGGGGTAAACCAAAAAAGAAGAAAAGAGCCTACGGAACGGGGAAATCCGCAACCTCTGTAACTTCGATTCTCATCCACAAGTTTAATAACCTGCAGGAATCTTTTATAACAGTGCCGATAGGAGGAGGCTACCGCTGCAATCCTTGCGCTTCACCTACTAGTTTCGTATCTGCTGCTCTCTGGGCGTCGGAAGCTTGGAAATGGGTCCTGTGAAAGTAACAATCGGTGGATTCGTATCCATTTCTGACAACGGCCGTGCGTTTCAGCGGGAGAAATACATAAGGAAGCCCGCAGTCCATGTCCCTCTCGGATCTCTCGTTCAATGGAAGAGAGTGCTATTAAATCGTGTCCTGCGAGGTACTTTGGACCAAGTGCTTAAGCATAACTTAAAATTAAAAATGTTTGCGATGACTCACAAAAAGATTGGTTTCAATCAGAATGAGAAGGAATCTGATGCGGTTACTGTACGATAGCATCTTTGACCGATGCGGTTTGTCATATTGCGAAAATCATGGTGTTGTTTTTGGTACATGCGGACAGCACCATAGCAGGAAAAAAAAGAAAGTAAGACGATGAATGGCAAAACAAAACGCATTCAACTGTACCGTGGTTTTGAAGCTTTCGAAATGGCTGATTTTTAAAGGGAATACAGTGTGGGGAATTATCGCGAAGGGAATAAAGTCGTAGCCATGTCATGTATGTCCGGCCTACTAGGGCTTTCACCAAAAGTGAAGCAAGCACTCGTAGAGTCTTGATGACAAACAAACTAGTGCAGCTCAGGCTGTTCCGCAAACGTGGAATTTCTAGTTGTGTTAATGCCAGCCGGTTCATCCCTAACGAAGATGCTTCGTGGAGAGGATCAGCATGTCCAGTTGTAAAATGGCCGACCCCAGGAAATTGTCCATGGAACTCTACCAGTTTGTAAGATTGCAGCGGGCATTTCTCTGCGAGTACGGACCTATTGCTAAGTCTGCAGGTCGACAGTGTTCCAGTATTGTATGTCGACAGAACGGCAAAGTGCTTTCCTTCAGACGGAAGATAACGAGTGCAGCTGGGAAGGGAAACAATTAATTAAAGGTGTGAAGAAATCGAGATGATCGAGTGGGCCCAGAGGGTGTCGCTGCCAACCAAACCCATAAGATGCCGAAGCCAAGGGATGGGATGTACCAGCTACTAATCTGTCAGCTGTGCGCATCAGTTTCCAACCATTTTGGGACCGTTTGCTCAGCCCCTCTTCTCGTTCAATACTCAGCCAGCTGCGCGGAGTGCTCATTCCCACATCGCTGAACTGCTCACTGTGAACTGGACCAGCTTCGTGTTCTTCAGCTAGTCAGGTATGGTGGACATTGCTGCAGCTCATTTTTGCGGTCGTGGGTTTGATGCGCACATACGAAAGATACTCTTAACCAGTCGACAACTTTGTTCGGAATCTTCCAGCCGGAAAGCATGAACCTATCGAATCCCTCGTTTGCCACATTGTTGAGGCAATTGAAGAGTATCCGCAGGCTCTCCGCCTGCTGTAAGAGTTGTGTCTATAGTTTGATCTCTTTCGTGGTCTTCTTGTGTAGAGTGTAGTGGTGGCGGTATTGCTGGGTGGCAGTCATCGGGTGGCAAGAGTCTTCGAAACAGTATGTCAGTGAGATTTCCATTCTCGTGGTGTATAAATGGACGTGCGTTTTGATTAGGCTTTTCTTACTGCCGTGAGACCCCTTCTAAGAAAAAACGTACCTGAGTTTGCATACACGTGGTTCAAGAACTGACCTTAGGGGTTATGTTAGTCCGTTGCTCATGGACTCAACTATTCAAGTAAGGCAGATCGACAGAAAAACATCATCAGCTGACTAACATATTCTCTAGGAAGGATCCCACTTTTGCCAGGCATACGATTTCAGTCGACGTTAGGAGCTGATCATGAGCATAAGGGGACTCTGGTCGCACCTTGTGTTTACAGATTATGTGTGCGTGTTCATTATCTTGAACCAAGGTCCTTTGCTTTATTTCATGACCCACACCGGGAGGCGAAGAAACACTGAACGTGTCTTGGAGCAGTAGAGCATCGGAAGCACTACGTAGTTCATCATCGTGCGAATAAAAAAGAAATAATCTAAGAAATTAGGAATAATCTAATGAAGCTTACTTATTCGATTAAGAATATCCGGAAAATCTACGTTCTGGGGTTCACTAGACGAGACTCGATTCGGCATGGAGAAGAATAGCATCGAACTGCGTGTTTGTTTCTGCATATTAACAGAGTGGACATGTGAAGTGCAGGCGCTTGCAACTGAGAGGAGTGACTTGCGAGTAAAGAAGAAGCCAACATGCAGCAAGACAAGGATGATGATGTTGCTCTGGGGGCGAACAAATACGGAACGCGGTCTGCGCTGGGCACTCATGCTCCAGTACCGGAAAAGGACTACAGGGAGCCATCCGTGACGCCCTTTTTCGACGGGGGGGAGCTCCGTCTCTGGTCCTTCTGGAGAGCGGGGATTGCTGAGTTCTTCGCAACCCTTCTCTTCCTCTACATCACCATCCAGACAGTAATGGGTCATGTGCGAAACACAGACCCCTGCTTGGGGGTCGGAATTCAAGGCATCGCCTGGGCGTTCGGTGGAATGATCTTTGCGCTCGTCTATTGCACAGCAGGAATCTCAGGTTAAACTACCTCCCCTTAGCAGCATGAAGTTTTAAAAAATTTCTGCAAGTATCATGAGAAGTTGCAAAACCAGGGTTACATTAGCTGGTATAGTGATCTAACAAGGCCGTTATGTCTCTACAGGAGGACACATCAACCCAGCCGTGACTTTCGGACTCTTCCTGGCGAGAAAGGTGTCGCTTAACCGTGCACTCTACTACATGATCATGCAATGCTTGGGTGCGATGGCCGGAGCCGGAATCGTGAAAGGCTTCCAGCCTGACTTCTACCAAGCACAAGGTGGAGGAGCGAATGCTGTCAATCATGGTTACACCAAGGGAGATGGATTGGGAGCAGAGATTGTGGGAACGTTCGTGTTGGTCTACACTGTGTTCTCCGCCACCGACGCCAAGCGCAGCGCTCGTGACTCTCATGTGCCGGTATGTTTCACTTATTCACGGTGGTACATTTCAATTACAGGGAAAGTTGGAGGGTGGATGTGTTTTATCACTGATTTAATCAGATCTGAATTGCTGCTGACGACGACATAAAAAAATAAAAATAAAAATAAAAAAAACTGAAACAAAAAAAATAAAAACTCTTCGTCTTGCAGGTGCTTGCCCCTCTTCCTATTGGATTCGCAGTGTTTCTGGTACATTTGGCCACCATTCCCATCACCGGAACTGGCATTAACCCTGCACGTAGTCTGGGCGCGGCCACCATCTACAACACGCAGCACAATGCCTGGGCCGATCACGTGAGTTGCATTCTCTTCCACCACTCCTGCTGAAAATTCAAGGTTAAGGTTAGGACTTATCGTCTGGAGATTTATTTTCTATGGGTTCGGTCTAGAAACGAATGGTTATCAGGCACAATATGAAGGAGCTGTAACCTCTCTGAAATGTTGATTGTGCTGCTGCAGTGGATCTTTTGGGTTGGCCCGTTTATCGGCGCGGCTCTCGCAGCTGCATACCACACGCTGGTCATCCGCGCGCTGCCCTTCAGAAAACGGGTGTAACTTCCTGCGGAGGCGAAATGAGCTTCAACCAGCTGCAACACGTCGGGTTTTTTTTAATCAAGTGCTCATGCGTGTGCCATCCCCAAACTAAGAGTGCTGATTCGAAGAAGTTATCAATACTGCAGCTGCTGTCTACTCGACTTCTGTCAATTTAGTGCCGCATTCTTATGCTTGTGACAATATGGCTACGGCGATCGAGGTGGATGAGGCAATCTCGGTTGAGTCATGGATTTTCCTTTCTATGTTCAATAACAGTGTGTACCATAATATATGTAGCTACCACAAGCTTCATGTAGTAGAAATGTATTCCGACCAGTGATATTGGTCCATCCTGTGAAGGTTGCGGTTTTTTTATCTTCCTGTCTGGTTTTCTTAGTGTTAGAGTGACGGTTCAGCTCGTGTCTGGGAACGAGAGGATGTAACTGCGGAGGGCGCAGTGACTGCTCATTGTATTCTCAAAGAACCACTACAACCCTTTTTTCTTTTCGCTAATCTGGAGATTCCACCCTTCGCTATTGCCTTCTGTTTCGACCCCACTCTCTTCAATGTTCTAAAGCTGTGTTTCAAGCTTGCTCTTACGAGTTCGTCAATTTTGGAGTTCTAAACATATAGCACAGTCGAGGTTTCCTTCTTGCAGAATGATATAAGCTTGCTTGTTAAGACCTGTTGATTTCTAATGATGAAAGCCACCTGGGTTTTGTGGAGACTGTTTCTGCTAAAATAGCTAGATAATACTTATCCAGATTGGGTCGAATCCAACCTTATTGCTGCACCAACCAACGCTTGTATGAAGGGATGACGACGGAATGTTCGAACCTTGCACAATATACACTTCAATAGCTTTAGACTGATTTGTTACCTCACAGAATTCTAGCTGTCACTGACCACGATTGATGAGTTCCTTGCCCATGGCATTCCGCACATGATGTTATTTCTGCTACCGTAGGCTACTTTCAAAGTAATTTATGCTCTTAAACTAGATGAACGATGAATACTGTTGGTGTTACCTCGACTGCACAGTCTTAGAGATTGATGAGCTCTTAGCGACCCATCGATCAATGTGCCATGTAGGATATAATCATCCTTAGCTTTTTCCTATTCACATGCACGGGGATTAACATGTTGTTCCCTTTACAGCACCATCGTAATCCCAAGCACCGATCGTTCAAAATACAGTGTAGCGCTTGGACCACCGATGCTTGCTAAACCTCGTCATAATTCTGCCACTTCATGTTCGAGAAGTACATAATTTTCGTGCTTCCGGAGATGGTGCGTCCACCGGAAAAATGCGGCTCGAAGATGCACCAAATAAGACGGGCCACTGTGTCGGAATTCTCACTAAATATGTTCGCAATCTGATGAACATGAAGCAAACCTGCGATTTCTTTATTGTGATAAAAAGAAAAGAAAAGAATTCCCAAACGTTTGGTTTGATCGGGAGGTTTGGTGGCCACAGACTGAATTCTCACAGGCAGCGTCTCCGAGGGCTTATCAGCATTGTCAGAGCTGATGAGGTACTTTTGTTCTTTTCCAATGTTCTCGTTCCTCTTCGCACAGTCAAAGGAGGCAGGAAAAGTTTACTGACTAGCTGACTTGTGCTCCTACAGTGGAAAAGATTCCCTAAAGTGTTAAACTACGTGCAAAGATGTGTACAGTCGGAAATGGCGCCACGCGACAGCGCATGCCACCCCAAGCTTTGTAATGATCCACCCTACGAAACTCAAACTCAGTTGACCCAATTCGTACACATTCTCGATTCTGGATTACTTGGAGTGAGTGATCGTCTATCGCAACTCTTCACTGAACATAGACCTCGGAAGAAGAGGGGTTGCAAGGCAGACACAATGTTCGCATCACACTACTGAGCGAGAATTTTGGAAAAGCTATAGAATTCCTGCTTAAAGAATGCTTTTGGGCGCAATTTAGTCTATATCTGGATTATTCCAACAAATTTTGACTTCCCAAAGATGTGAAGAAACCATGCATGTGGAGGTAGTTGGGACACTGAAAAGTCTCAGAGACGAGAAAATGGCAATAGGCTGTTGCACAAAGGTTTGATCTCTTAAGCTCTTTTTCCCTTCTGGAGTAAAGGTACAAGGAGCTAGTCTCTCATCCGCTTCGTAGGACAACCAATGCGAGCATGCCAGATGCAAGCGATAGTGATCCTCAAATGGTCTTCGCCGAATGACAGCAGTGTGTTGGGTCCTCTATCAAAGTAAAGGCTTTAATCACTCCCGTGCTTCTCTGACATTTAAATGTCCGGGAGGAATTGAGGATAACTGAATTGCCTCAATCGGGAGGATATAGCTTTTTTTGTTCTGTGCGTATATAGCTTCGTACTAACTGCTGTGCTTGCCACTAGTGGCTGTAATTTTTTCAGTCCACTGTAGACGTTAAACTGGCAGTTTCGAAAAGACGTGAACATAGTCACAGGCTGTGTTAGAATGTATCATGGTGTATGGTTGGTTTGTGGAAACGGAAGGGGATAGGAAAACGAGGAAATGAAGCAAGAGAGGTTCGAGTCTGTTACAGTCCTGTAAATATATTTAGTACTTCGGTAATAATCGCAGAAAACCCAAGTGTAGGTACGTAAGGGAGAATCAACAGATGGAGGGAACGAGATGGAAGGATTTAGGTTTTCCTTGCCCACCGCCAGATTCTCTGTGATTTTGCACCGATGGCAGATTTTGTTGAAAGAAAACAATCTCCCTGAACTTGTAGTTGGAATGATCCACATGAGTTGACCCAAGAGCGCAGTGTTTCATACAATGCATGCATTCTATGCAAACAGCTTTTCGAAAGCCAGGTAGCAATTGGAACAGAAGTATTCTTCAAACTTTGATGCTACAAATGTTCGGTCTCTGCTAAATTTGGACGGATTTATGTGGACACTCACAAAATGTATTCGTCGAGCGTAGATCAATACTATCCTGAGTCCACGAACACGTACACGCCCGAAGGTAACTCAGCGGGTCTGACCACTCTCAGCAATGGAAACGAATACACGTTCGTGATCACCGGCAAAATCATGGTGGTTGCCATCGTGGTGTTCTTCATCGTCGTTCTCTTTGTGATTTGCCTGCACATGTATGCAGAATGGATCTTTAATGATACCCTAGATGTTTCTCAAGGAGGAGGGACTCCAGCACCATTCTTTTCCTTCTGGGCAAGGAGGCATGGCAACTCCGCTGACGGTCAAGTTGTCGTCAATGGCGACGAGCTCGAAATCCATGCAGTAGCGGGCCTTGATAAGTCGGTATTAGAAGCTCTTTCGACATTCAGGTACAAAATTGTGGAGCAGTCGGCTTCGAGTGCCACTGGCATTCAGGAATGTGCCATATGCTTGGTGAATTTTGAAGAGGACGACTTGGGCCGCAGCTTGCCCAGGTGCGGCCACAGCTTTCACCTCCAGTGCATCGACATGTGGTTGGATTCGCACACCACTTGTCCCTTGTGCAGAGTAGAATTAGAACCTGATGAAGAATTGGAGTCGCAGCAAGCGGATTCCGAAACGACGGGCATTTCAGAGTTTCATGTGGAGTCTTTGGTGGCTTCGAGAAGATTGCAACGTGGAGAATTATTTGAACAAAATATTCCCACGCAAGCAGTCCGAAGCTATCAGATGAACGAGCGCTCGAGTGCGGAGCAATTGCCCGAAACCGTGGAAGATTTGCAACTTGTTCAAATAGCTCAAGGTCAAGAAGCAGACAAAAGAATAGATTTAACCCCGTCCGACACGCATCAGCAACTGAACGAGGATCCCACACTCTCCGCTGCGCTGAAAGCCAGCTCCTCACAAGTGACAATCGACATTAATAGCCCTCCTGCGACATATCAACATGTTCAAGCGCAGCAGCACGCTCCAAGCGATGGTATGCCAAATTCTTCACCTCCTTCGTCGCCACTCTTCGTCCCAGTCATTTGTCCCATGTTTCGCACTGTCTCCAGTTTCCTCCGCCTTCCAAGTCGAGGCGGTCTGCTTCCAGCATCAACTGCAACAGCAGATACACTTGTGCATATTCAACCAAACCCTCTCCATAGCCAGCAACATTGATCTTTGAAACAACTCTCATTCAAGGCTGTTCGGACACCCACCAGCACGCCGCAGCAGCCACGGTGTGGAAAAGAAGGATGCTATCTATCTCACTCCTGACTGCACTTCTTCACAGACGTTTGCAGAGTTTCTCTCATACTGACCTCAGTCTGTAATGGTAGATTTCATGAGGTGCAGGAGCTTCATAGAATCAATTCATGCTGTCCCCAGTCTGGCATCCTGCAATATTTTATCACGATGTTGTAAACAAAATCTTCACACTGCTGTATATACTCATTCTATCCATTATAAATTGAATTCTCTCAACAATGATGCATGAACATGATATGCTGGTCAAGAAAAGTTTCATGAAGCAACATGGGCTCGATGCTCTCTGTCATTAGAACTTCTTGTTACTCAAAGTTTAGAGCGATCTATCAGCATCTGGACAGAACTAAGAACCAGGACATCACTAACACCTCAAAAGCATCGATAAAACTCGATGCTACTTCATCCTTCTATGGGAACTTCAATACGCTTCCAAGATCCATTTTGGTATCTAGAACTCAACATCACGGTTGATGAAACATGCAAGTTTGAACAAAACGAACACGTAACCCGACATGTGTGCTTGGCACTAGCTTCGATCACACAACTCCTGGTCGATCCTCACAATTTTACCTGCTAAATTCCACTGTTTGATTGCGTTCATTGTAGCAGATGGAGTGGAATCGGATTCGTCTCGTTAGCCTCGAGCTCTTTGTTAGCTCAGTTTTTGAAACTTTGCAAGCTCTCCATTCAACTTCACCGCTGAGGTCGATTTTCTCACAGTTTCCTGATCGATCGTCGTTTTAGATAATCCGGAACCCACGGCGAGCTTCACAGTGATATTATGTACTGTATTGTATATCAGGACTAATTTTATATCATTAATATATACATATATATATATGGAATGAAACGCCCTCAACCTTGAGGTCATACATCTGATGTCATGAAAAGCCTCTAGTCACGGATTTATTACAGCTTAATCTTGTAGAATTTATATGAGAATCAACAATATGGAGTAAGACTTTGATCGCATTGATAAAGTTTACAGCTTTATATATGTTGTTCAACTATCTAAGAATCATAAGTCACATCTAATTGTATCACAACTATTTAATTAGTGTACTATATTCATACTATATACAAATGTAACATTCCCACTAGAATACTAGTCTTGGCATGTTCACAATTAGTTGTTGTTTTTGCATGCAGTTGTTATTTTGTCATCTTGGCATGTTTACAATTAGTTGTTGTTTATGCATGCAATTGTTATTTTGTCATCTATTTTGTTATTATCTTGGAGTTTGAAGCACTTTCTTTATTGTCTGGCATTTTTTTTTTTTTTTTGTTTTGAAGCTTTCTTCCATTCCTCTTTGAGATTGAGGTATGTAGTAAATGCATGCATTTTGTAAGTGGCTTCACCAAGGTTGCAATTAGCACTTTGAATTAGTTGAAGAGTTTTTGATTTTTTTAAGATGTTTGTTGCATAGATTATATTAAAGTGGTGTTCTTAATCTCATACTTACAATAATTTTTAGTATTAAACTTTGTCTAAGATAAGTATGAGATATACATAACTTGTTTGTACTTTCTTAGCCTAAAAAAAAAATTTCTTGATGGATGCGACTTTATATGTTATTTTTTATATTAACTAGATTGAAAGTTTGCTTCTTTATTAGCAAATTTTTCTAACAAACAATGTTTTTGTATATATGCAAGTTCTTTAATAAAGGAGCACATTTTTATTTGAAATGAGTATTGCATATAATTCCTTGTAAAATTATTTAAGGGGGTTGAAATATATTTATGCCAATTTGAGAGAATATTGCATGGTGGAGTTTGTATACTCTAATTAGCCTTTAAAAATTGTGCATTTTTATTGATCTTGGATAATGGACAATTGAGTTGTCATAGATATTTCCTTTCTAAGACTGATCAAAATATCCAAATTTTCCATTATTAAAGCAAGAGAAGTAAATAATGGCTCCAAAAATTGAGAGAATACATGAATAGGCATAAATAATTAATATAATCAATGCTTGGGATAATAACCATAGATACATGATAATAAATAGCTCCCACATAAGTAAGAAGAATATAAAGGAAGATCAAAATGTTGTGTATAAGTGACCAAGGTTTGAATTGTTGAATCAATCTTAGCTAGAATCAAATATATTTCTACAATAATCATACAATACTTATGTTTGTCTTAAGATAAAAACTTGATAAAAGTATTAGCAATCTTATCAAATGTAAAAATATAACTTAATTAAATTTCATGAACAAGAATATTTTTTTTGATAAAATAATATTCTATATCTATGTACTTGCTACAAGAATGATACTTAGAATTTGCAATTCAGGTAATTACACTTTGACTATTACAATATATAATAATAGGATTAAATTATAAAAATCCTAATTTGTTTAATAATTTGTATTATTATACAACTTTGGCAATAGCTTTAGTTAGGATATATATTTTGATTTTATAGACAATAGAGCAATACTTTGTTGTTTTTTATTGCTTCAAAAAATAACCTTGCCAATCAAAAAAATAATATCTCACAATTGATTGTTGAATATCTTTATTGTCAGTTTAATCAATATCTATAAAACTATGTAAAAATATGCATAGTAGGTAATTATTGATGTTTCATACCAAAATTTAAGATACCTTTGATATACCATATAGTTCTTTTCAAATTTTGAATATGAGGTTAGCCATGATTGGATAGATATTGTACTAAATTATTAATAGCATAATTATAATCTGATTTAGAATTGATTTGAGTATATATTAAGTTACCAACCAATTGAAAATAAGAATATGAGCTGATAAGAGACTTTCTTTTGTAAGTAGAAAGAGAATCAACTTCACTTAATTATATTCCACATTGCATGAGTACTTAAAAGATTATAATTTAATATATAATATTCTTTAAGTTTATTAAGTAAGTATTTTTCTTGATGTAAGATAATCCAATCTTCTAGGAAATATAAATTAATAGTATTTCTAAGTATATAATGTATTTTGCCTTTATTTGTTATGTCAAATGCCTTGTGAAGAATTTCTTTAATTTTATCAATGAGTGTGATGTTATTACTAACAAAAATACAACCATTAATATAGATTATCAAAATAATAAATCTATCATCATTATCTCTTTTAATGTATATATATATATATATATATATATATATATATTTGCATGAGCATCCAATCTTATAAATCCTTATTAAATAAAAAAATTATTAAAATATATATATACTAGGTTCTTAAAGATTGTTTAATTTCATATAAGGATTCAATGAATTTATGTAACAACTTGGTCTTAAAAGGTATTGATAATCCTTTAAGGACAAATATATATATATATATATATATATATATATATATATATATATATATATATTTGTGAATTTATCTTTAACAAAGGTTGTTTGACATCTAATTGGTGTATTTTCAAATTATATTTCTAAAGTGGCTAAAATTAATATAAATTTTGTAGAGTTAAGCTTTATAATAAGAAAAAAAAAATCTAAATAGTTAATGTCTTGTATTTATGTAGAGTGAAATGCTACTAGTTTAGCCTTATATTTATCAATTGTATCATTAGAATTAGTTTTAATCTAAAAAATCCATTTAGAAATAATTTATTTTTTACTATAATAAAATGATGTTAACTTCTAAGTTTAATTTTTCACTTAAGATTTAAACTTATCAATAATGATTGCTTCCCAACAATGTCTATGAAGTATAGCTAAAGCTTTAGTTATGGTTTTAGAAGGTTCCAAAGAAAGAAGTGTTGTCTTAGCCATATTAGCTTAATGATTAGACTTGTGATAATGATAAGCTTATAAGGCAATAAGCCTTTGATTCTTTATTATATTCTAAAATAAGGCTTCTATAGAATAGAAGTCTAACTTTATTCTAGTTTTCTTTTGAACAAAGATATGAATTCTATGCCAATTTCTTTTTAAATAAAATAGAATAAGTTATCTTCTAAATCATATTTTAGAAAGAATTTTATTTATTATTATATTTTAAGTGGGACTTTTATTATGGGAATAATTTCCAATTTGAATTACTCCTTCTAAAATTATTTTACATAATTTAGCATATGATAACATAGCTAAAATAGCTCCCATTAAGATTATATTTTTTCTTTCAGATATACATTTTATTAAGATATAAAACTTTAATAAACTTTCTTTTGATGCCTTTATTTTTACAAAATTTTGTAAAAATAACTTTTGATATCTTTTGATCAAACATATATTCTCCTCTACAATCAAATCATAAGATTTTAATTTTATGATTAGTTTTCTTTTCTTCAAATTCTTATAGGAAAAAAACTTATTAAAAACTTTAGATTTACTATTATTAATATACATAACAATATCTAGATAAATCATTTATGAAGGTAATAAAATATTTACATCAAGAATATTTGCCAACTTGCATAGAGCCACAAATGTCAAAATAAATAAGTCGAAGAAACTTCATAGCTTTTACATGCCTCTTGTATAAAACAAATTCTTTATTTTTTTACTTGTCTTTAAGTTATGGTTGATAAAAATTTATTTTATGTACATCAAAAATATCAATGCCTTATGAAATTGATTGAAATTGTTTTAATCTATACTAGTTTATATAGCCTAGTCTTAGATGCCATAAATCAATATCATTTAAATTTTATATAGTATGGTATTTCAAATGATTTTTTATTTAAAAATTAAAATAACAACCAATTAAGCTTGCACTTTGCAATTGTGTGATCTTATTTATTTAAAAATATTAAAATTTGAGATATAATGCAAATTTTATCTCAGACTTTGATTAATTTTTTTGGTAGAAAATAAATTCTTTTCAAGCCCAAGTACATATAAGACATCAAGTATGATTTTTTTTTTATATTATTTGAAATTTTCACAATAATTTCATTATATCCTTAAATTTTATAAGATGTGCAATTATCTCTCAAATATACAAGTTTTTATTTACATAATTTTTTCAATTAATAAAGGCATCTTATTTATGCCACATGTGGTATATCTTCCTAGAATCTACATACCATGTGCAAGTAGATGTTTTATTGGTTAAGAGTGCAACCACATAAAGTCTATTTGGTTTTGTGAATATATTTTTTTCTTTATAATAGCTATTAATATTTTATAAATTTAAATAAGATATCTAGATTTCTTAGAATAAAAATATTTTTTATTAATAGAATAGTTATTTTTTTAAAAAGATTGAGAATATAAAGAATTAGTGTATTTTTTGTAATTAAA